GTTTCTACAGCAGTATCCATTTTCCAAAAATCCCATCTTTTTGTATAATACTGTACACCTAACGCTGTTGTTGGACGCTGACTTAAAACGGTTGTGCAAAGCTGTGAAAACAATAACTGGACATTAAGTGATATCTGTTAAGGAATATTCTAATGTTTCCTACTACATTTATATCACATCACATTCAGGTACCCTGGTGATTGTCCCAGTAGCTGGAGCTTTATGCAGTCAAACAGTTATCTTTGGTGGCTGGCCATCGATCTTCTACATTTCCGCTGCTTGCGGGCTACTGTTTGTCTTGATTTACACAGTCATTGGTGCCGATAAACCGTCCAAACAGACGTGTATCACAGACTCTGAACTTAAGTTCATCACCATCTGCAACTCCAGCGAAGATATTGGTAAAAAGCGAATGGAAAGAAAGGTGCCATGGTTTCGTATAATTTCGTCGATGTCAGTTTGGGCATCTGTAATTTCTGTAATATGCCACGAATTCCCACTGATGACAATGATCATGTTTTTGCCAAGGTAGTTCCAAGCTTTTAAACGTTACGCATTACTTTATCACATAGTATTTTATTGTAAAGCTCCTAGAAAGTATATTGTGCAAAACATAAAAAGAAGGTAGCTCTTATCTCAAAAAAAAAAAAAGCCTCCATCAGTTTACATTAAGCATTCCCACTATCCTTTCTTAAAATCCTACAAAAGTGCTTTGGCAATGATAGGGATCGGAAACGCGTAATTTAAGCATTCTCGATAACCCTCTAAAAAAGCTTCATTCCAACATTGGCAGACTAGTAAAATCAAATGATATTCCGCATTGATAATGACCCACTTAGCCATAAATTTAAAATTTAATTCGTACAAAAACTCAGTTATTTACACGATGTCCATCACTATAAAGCAACAGAGAATGGTATCCTATCAGCACTACCAACAGCTTCGCTATGGATGAGTAAACTCTTTTCCTCCTACATCAACACATGGCTACAGGTTTTGCGATTATCTCTTAAGAAATTTAGTTTTCCTTTTCTTGAACCAGAACTGGCCATTACATTTAGGCACCAACTCTTTTTAAAAATGAATGGAAACATATAGCGTCCAGAATTTTGTGCACTTCGACATAAAGAAAAGCAAATGAGACTGAATAAAAGGGCTCAAAAGGATCATTTAAGAACTCTATATTTCAGACAAAGACCAAACTCAGGCAAACAACCATTTGCAAACTTTTGAACTCATTAGGTTCTGTAGGGTTAGCCGCATTCTTACTTGCCTCAACATTTATTGACTCCTCTCATGCTTCAATCGCCGTAATATTCTTATGCGCAAGTATGGCATCCGCAGGTATCACACAATCATAAAACTTGTTTCACTTAAATATATCTATGAACTAGCTTAACCCAATAATAAAACAACATTAATCTAAGTATGCATTTCCAGGTTTACATACGCCTGGTTGCCAGACAGCTTTAGTATCGCTAGCACCAGCATTTTCTGGTGCTATAACTGGACTGGCGTTCTTCTTTGTGGCCACTGCTGGAATTGCAAATCCACTACTAACTAAATGGATTGTCCAGGTAAGCATGCTTCCTGCAAAGCATTCAAAAAATAATGTGAACATAATCTTTCCTACCACTGATCAGTAACTTGTCGAATAACTACATAACGGCGGTAGGAAACAAAAACTAAAAAAGTTAGCTTGCAGAAAAAACTAAACTAAATTTAAGCTTCAAATATTAAAGATGCACACTTACAGAGCGGTTCACACGCAGAGTGGAATTCAGTTTTTTACATTTCAACTCTTATTGCACTAGTACCGGTAATCGTTTTCAATATCTGGGGATCCGCTGATGTACAGGTAAACAACTTCTCAGTCTCCGATACATTTAAACAATTACCAACACCAATATCACTCGACATGCCAGTTGTGACAAAGTGAATCTACGAGATCTAGGCCCTAAAATGTTGTTAAACCAATAATTCAAAACTAGTACAAGCATTTTTAGCCAAAATAGTCAGAAAGCCACTGAGTAATCAGAAGAAAGTTCTTTCGTCTTTTGAGAACCATATTAAGTACCTACTAAACAACTTACTTCATTCGCTTACTTTTTTCAACTACCAAAATTTAGTGGTGGGCAAAAGCAGTCCGGTCATATCCAGATACAGTTATGCCCGCTGGATTAACAGCAAAGGACAACGCCGGAACAGTTTCTTATATTGTCAATGACAATAGAAAAAGTAAAGATGACAATAAGACAATAACAGTTTCGATCTCATGATTGTAAATAGGAAAAGTTGTTTTGTTGTTTTGTTGAAATAACAATTATTAGAACTATTATGCAAATAAGCCTCTACCTATAACCTGGTTGTTGAACATTAGCGTGAGGCAAAAAAAAAAAAAATATCTGGTCATATATTAGAAGTCTAAGTACAACACAATTCATCACACGAAGGATAAATCCCTCTTTTCACCTTCAACGATGGTACAGAATAAAATAAAATATTAACGCATGAACTGAAAGGATACAACTTCTGAACGTTTAGCTATCTATAGCTAACCCAATTTAGACACAACGTTAAATGTCCCATAGCCAAGCCGAGAACAACCAAAAAGATGCTCAAAGATTCAGTGTGCATCTTTACTTAAATAGTTAAAGTTCTAAAACATCAAAAGTGGTATCCTTTACTGGTCAAATTAAAAGAAACGGTAAAGAAAAAAACGATTTAAAGTTGTCTGAAAACTGTAAATACTTTTGTCCACACCGAGTGCAGCATCTGTAGGAAACTTATACCTTTCGTTACATGGAAACAAACTCATCCCTAAACTTTCACAGAGATCTTTTAATGAGCAAAATATTTTTTATCAGCCGGAAGATAAACTAGTTTTATATTTTTGCCATTAGTGATTTTTTTTTTAGCGATACATCAAAAACTTTTCCGTCTTTGAAGATTCTGTTTCACACAACAATTATTTATGCTTAAAAACCATTGTCAGGTTGATGAAAGGCTGGAACTGGTCGTTTACTTCACTTCCTTATACATTAACTACCCTATCTTTTCCTGCGATAACGCAGTAGAAGAATTACAAGTGTAAATCCGCCTCTACTTCACCAAAATTTAGACTAATTAAAATAGCTTCCCGTCTGCAATAAAAATACATCAAAAATCTTCCTCTGACTATACGTACAGACAATTCCTGCAACCATTCCAACTTAGTCCTATTTCTACTCCCTAGAAGTATCAAAAAGAAAAAAATGAGCAGATAAATAATAGAAAAAAATTCATATAGACCTTTTCCAACTCCAGTGTTCCATCGTATAATTAAAGTTCAGCAGATCTAGCGTTATGAACTTTCCTCCTCTTGAAACAGCATCGAAATTAGCTCCTTCGTCCGTCCGCAAAAAAAAGTGCACTGCAGATTGCTTAACTAAAAAAAAATGTGGGAATTCCCAAACTGGGATTGAAAGAATCGTAGAAAAATAACGTTCCTTATCCAAATCAATGAATTAATCAAATGCAGAAAAAGTGACAACGACACCAGAATACATTCTTACAAAAACATCGACAGTCTCAGAAAAGCAATAATAAAATTGGTATAACGCATGAAAAAAATGGCCAAGAATCAAAAGATATATACATCGGTTTCAAGGTTTCTTCAGAAATTGCCTAGGACACTTTTGCTTCAACTCGGCACAGAGACTGACAGTATTCCGAAGGTTCGGGCACAGAGGCACACACACACACACACATTAAAAAAGTCAGAAAAAGCAAAACCAAAGAAGCAAAAGCAACCGGAAAACAAGGAAAAGGCAAGGTTCAAGCGGAGAAGTATCACCTCTGGCGCTTACTGGATTTATATAGCTGCTTGAGCGAGCAAAAATGCCAAATCTATAGGGCGCCATTTGCCTATGGCAAACGCTGCGCTTTAACGCCGCGGCAGTTTCTAACCATTCATTTGTATTGTTTTTGTGCTGTGTACGTCTTCAGGTTCCTGAGTTGCAACCTGCAATTGGCGATTTTATAATTTCGTCGAGTAGTTTGTAAATAA